GCCCCCGAACAGTTACCTAACATTGAGCCCCCGATGAGACTCCTGATGAATTACCTAACCTGAGCCCCCAATGAGCCCTGATGAGACCCCAATGAGCACCCGATGAGTGAGTTACCTAACCCTAAACCCCCAAAGAGCCCCCGATGAGTTAACTAACCCTGAGCACCCGATCAGACCCCAATCAGTCACCTAAACCTGAGCACACGATCATCCCCCGATGAGCCCTCGATGAGTTACCTAACCCTGAGCCTCGAAACCCTGAGCTCCGATGAGCCTCCGAAGAGCCACTGATGAGTTACCTAACCCTGAGCCCCAGATGAGCCTCCGATGAGTTACCTCGCCCTGAGCCCCAATGAGCCTCCGAAGAGCTGCCGATGAGTTACCTAACCCAAACCTCCCGATAAACCCCCGATGAGCCTCCAATGAGCCCGCGATGAGCAACCGATGAGTTACCTAATCCTAACCCCCCGAAGAGTCCCCGAAGAGCCTCCGATGAGACCCGAATAAGCCCCTGATGAGCCCCCGATGAGTTATCTAACCTGAGGCCCCAATGAGCCTCCGATGTGCCCCCGATAAGCACCCGATGAGTTACCTAAGCCTGAGCCCCTGAGGAGCCCACGATGATTCCCCGATGAGCACCCGATGAGTTACCTAACTCTAAACCCCCTAATATTAGATACTCTACAGGAGCTGGCAAGCATGCTTATCCAGGTAAGAGGAGAGAGCATTATTGCACTAATCTACTAGCAATTTTAGATATTGAGGACACTGAGAGTTTGCTTGAACATAGTCAAAGGTCATGAAACTCTGAGTACGTGGCTCTAATGGCTGAGGAATGTACCAAATATTATTAACAATGAGGATTTATGTCTGGAAACTTCTGGTACATCCTATGTTCTCCAATCAACTTTCTAAATATAATTCTCAATTAATTAAGGGTATACAGTATTTTATAATTATACTTTGTCTTCTATTGATAGGTCACACCTCAAATATATATATGTATAAATAGATAGATGGATGGATGGCTGGCTGGATAGATTCCGTCAGCAACAGTACGGTTCTAACAAGCCCCATTAATTTAATTTAACATACTTATCTACTAACTGATTTCAGCTGTAAAGTGTATTGGTGTCTGAGAAAAATGCATTTCCAATTATGCATTATACTCTTCTTACCAGTTTTGGTGAAGGTTTTTGCTTAATAAAGCATTCTATGCACCTAATTGAGATATATGTGTGCCACTATTTTAGTTCCTTAGTTTATAGTACAAAAGGCTGTATCATGCACTGTGTTCGAATTTACCATCAGTGCAGAAATTGCATTAGGATGGAATTATGTGAAGTTTGCCAATTTGATTTAATGCCCAGTAGTAATTGCTACTATCAAATATGTTAACTATTTAAACCAATAATTGTGGAACAGAGAACCTTGATTTGTGTTTATACTGCAATATTTGAAGTGATTTGCTGCAATTTTCGCCCCAAGTATGTCTCACTCTATTAAGGAAGCACAATATAATAATAACATTACAATAAGACATAGAAGTGCACAATTGGGAATACGGAAAGTGAAACAAACACCAAAGCACGCTGATAGCAAGAGCATATTGTTAGCAGTAATAATAGTAAAAATAATCCTTGCATTTGAAAGAGCGTGTTGTCACATCGTTGAGACGTCTCAAAGCGCTTCACAGAATATATTGTAAAGTAAATTGACTGTATTTTGTGGGCGAAACGCGGCAGCCAATTGTGCACAGCAGTGTCCCACAAACAATCATGGATTGAGTGACCAAATTATTTATTTATTTTTGGGGCGGGATTATTATCCCCAGAAAGCGATCCGCCAATCATCTAACAAACAATTAATTTAAATGAATCATATATTATTATTTATTTATAATAAATTAAGTTTATTTATAACTAATTTGAATAAACCATGCTTATTCCACACTAAATCTTCACAATTGTCTTGCTTTCCAATAAATTAAATAATGCATTATCATAATATAACTGCTTTTCTTTTCAAGTAAGAGAAAACATATTTTTGATTTCAAGATTAGCTTGTAATTGTGTGGCTAAAGAGATGCACTCAAATTTACATGACAATATGCTGCTATTTATCCTCAAAGTGATGGACACTCACTTCATCTGTACACAGCTTTGAATTGCTATTCCTCAAAGAACATGTTGATGCCTCTACTTTTGATAAATGTTGTGAAGCATGGAACATATGATAATTAAATTACTGTTTGTAATGGGTTGATTCTAGTAGCTGCCAAGAATCTAATCCATGCATTTATCATGTCCAGGCTTGCTTAGCTCCCTGGACTACCCAACACTTCCCTACACAAGCTGCAGACTACCTAGAGCTCTGTAGTGTGGGTATGTCTTTTGCCACACTAGGCTCCATGAGCCTATTACCCCCATCACAACCGGCTCCATTGGCTCCCCATCCCTGAGCAGATCGACCTGACTTTTAAATCTCTCCACAGACCTGCCCTACCCTATCTCTGCAAGCTCCTCCAAGAATAATGACCTGGCCAGTCGCTCAGAGGCTTCTTCATGTCCCCCTTCCTGCCTGTCCCACCATCGTCAATTGGGCTTTCAGCCTATCTTCATCCAAGAGTCCTTCCTTCACCTCTTCCAAAGTGCATCTCAAGACCTATCTCTTTGACCGCACCTGCAATCATCTTTCCCCACCCTATTTCCCTCAGCTCTCACTCCCATTTTGGTTACCAATCTAGGACCGATAAGTGTCTTTGTGAAATCTCCCTGACTAGATAAATAAAAATTGGTATTGTATGTTACAATGCCCTTGCAAATGATTCAAGCAACACAATCTTACAATGTTTCAATATCCCAAAGTTATTGAATAACTGTGGAGTGCATATGTGAGGTGTTATTTAACAATTTTGCATCCATCTGAGGTTTAGATAATAGCATAACTAATCAGTTTTACAAGGTCCAATTACTATCTAACAATTTTATACAGATGAATGAACACTTACCCTTTTCTTTGAATTACTGTAGTTAATTTTGCCATTCAGTTTTGAGGAGCAAACATGTGGCATCAGGGTCCAAAGTTTCAATACTTGTTGACTGCAAATTGCAAATATGTAACTGAATAAACATCTTTTCCAGCTCATCCCCCTGCAGATACCTGGCCAACCTGTCTGTGCATCCTGGGCAAAACCAATATGACTTAGACCAACTCTACATTTTCGACTTCTGAAAATGTGGAGAGAGGTAGCGTATTGTTTAGAAAACTGGCCTCGCAAGAGAGAGGACCTGGGTTTGATTCCCAGGCAGGGCGAAACGTTCGGCAAGTTTCCTTACTCCACACGCCTCTAGTTACCTAGCAGTAAGTAAGAACCCGATTGTTAATCGATTGATCACGAAAAGATCACTTTTCCGGGGGTAATAATCCCTTAAAAAAAAATTAAATAATTGATTCACTCAATCCATGACTGTTTATGGGACGCTGCTGTGCGTAATTTCACCAACAAATTACACAGTCAATTGACTTTACAGTACATTTTATGAAGCACTTTGTGATGTCTCTAAGATGTGATAAGGCGCTATTTCAAATGCAAGGATTATTATTATTAGTTTCAGGATCTGTTTTTATTTGCTGAATAGGAAACGAATGATAGAACAGCAACAGCAATAACAATCGTTTTGATCAATTCTGCTGGATGTGGAAAGCTGAGGACTAGAGAATCCCTATGCCTCAGACCATTGCCAATTGTCTTGTTTGGTGTAAGTTTGTCCAAATGGCCATTCTTCATATGTGCGATGAAAAATCCTTGTGCCATCCTGAAAGGGAACTGTGAGTAATCTCTCGACATTGGAGGCAGTACAACTGAACTAGATTCTGAAAATACACAATTTTCTGGGGAGTTGGGCGGGGGTGGGGGGGAAAGAGTGTCATTAGACAGCCATTAGGAAGACAAAGAGTTCTGATAAAGCACAAATGATGTGCTCCAGGTGCTATTTTTATTGAAGTATTTACTCAGTACCTTTTCTTTTTTTATATAAACAACAACAACAAAATTACATTTATATAGCGCCTTTCACACCGGGAGGACGTCCCAAGGCGCTGAACACGGCTATATTTCTTGTCCTCAGCAAGATCTGTCTTGCCTCGGGTTTCCGACGAAGGGTCTTGGACCCGAAACGTTGACTCACTTTCCTCTCTCCATGGATGCTGCCCGACCCGCTGAGCGTTCCCGGCCACTTCTGTTTTTATTTCGGATTTCCAGCATCTGCAGTATTTTGGGGATCGGTTTACCTGGTCATGGCTGGAGTGTTCCTCTGCAAAAAAAAATGCCTGTACATTAATTGCTCTTTGACAGGACCTGTGGGTGGGAAGCAAAGGGCTTTACCTGGAGATAAGGGACGTTATTATTGCAGATTATTTCCTCAATATGTATCCCAGGCGGCTTTTTAACCTGTGATTTATCAGAGGTGCATTGGCACTTTATCGGGACAGGTATTGTGATTGATTGCGGAGCCCGGCCGCTAAATGTAATGTGGTTCAAACTGCCAGGGGAGGGCGGGCAGGCAAGGCAGAGGCCAGGCGGGCAGAGGCAGGGGAGGGCGGGCAGGCAAGGCGGAGGCAGGGCAGGGGGCAGGCAAGGCAGGGCAGGGTGGCAGGCAGGCGGGGAGGGGCAGAGGCAGGGAAGGGCGGGGGGGCCAGGCAGGGCAGGGCAGGGAGGCAGGGGAGGGCGGGGCAGAGGCAGGGCAGGGAGGCAGGGGAGGGGAGGGCAGGGGAGGGCGGGCAGGCAGGGCAGAGGCAGGGGAGGGAGGCAGGGCAGAGGCAGGGGAGGGGAGGGCAGGGGAGGGCGGGCAGGCAGGGCAGAGGCAGGGCATTGGCAGGGGAGGGCGGGCAGGCAGGGCAGGGAGGCAGGGGAGGGCAGGCAAGGCAGGGAGGCAAGGCAGGGAGGCAGGGGAGGGCGGGCGGGCAGGGAGGCAGGGGAGGGCGGGAGGCAGGGCAGGGGAGGGCGCTGTGCTGTGCTGTGCTCTGGCTGGTGCTGGTGGCTGGTGCCGTGCCCCGGCCCGGGCTGCCTGTCTGGCAGTGTGGAAGTGCCACTCGCCTCCTCGCCGCCGGACTCGAGTATTGTGGGACATGGTGACTGTCCGGGGTCGGCCGACAGCCCAACTGCCGCACCTCACCGCCCTGGTGCTGGGTAAGGAGCAGCCGCGGCCCCGCCCGGGGGGGGAACATGTGTCGGACACTTCTTTATTAGCAGCGCCGCCGCCGCTTCTCCTCCACTCGTGAGGGGTCACATACTCCGGTGGAGAGGCCCCGAGTCCAGGAATGAGGTTTCCCTCTCAGCGCCGCGGCCTGAGCTGCAGTGTGCGCTGCAACAGCACAGATGGACAGACCCCCACACAGCCCCTACACAGCCCCCCCCCCCCCCACACACACAGCCCCCCCCCCCCCCACACACAGCCCCACAGCCCCTCACACTGCCCCCCCCCCCCCCCACACACACAGCCCCCCCCACACACACACACACACACACAGCCCCCCCCCACACAGCCCCCCACACACACACACACAGCCCCCCCCCACACAGCCCCCCACACACACACACACAGCCCCCACACACAGCCCCCACACACACAGCCCCCCCCCACACACGCCCCCCCACACACACAGCCCCCACACACAGCCGCCCCCCACACACACAGCCCCCCCACACAGCCCCCCCCACACACAGCCCACACAGCCCCCCACCCCCCACACACAGCGCCCCCCACCCCCACACACAGCCCCCCCCCCACACACAGCCCACAGCCCCCTCACACTGCCCCCCCACACACAGCCCCCCACACACAGCCCCCCCACACACACAGCCCCCCCCACACACAGCCCCCCACACACAGCCCCCCCCACACACAGCCCCCCCACACACAGCCCCCCACCCCCCCACACACAGCCCCCACCCCCCCCCCACACACAGCCCCCACACACACAGCCCCCCCACACACACAGCCCCCCACACACACAGCCCCCACACAGCCCCCCCACACACACACAGCCCCCCCTCACACACACAGCCCCCCCTCACACACAGCCCCCCCTCACACACAGCCCCCCCTCACACACAGCCCCCCCCTCACACACAGCCCCCCCTCACACACAGCCCCCCCTCACACACAGCCCCCCCTCACACACAGCCCCCCCCTCACACACAGCCCCCCCCTCACACACAGCCCCCCCTCACACACACAGACAGCCCCCCTCACACACACACACACAGCCCCCCTCACACACACACACAGCCCCCCCTCACACACAGCCCCCCCACACACACAGCCCCCCCCCCCCCCCCCCACACACACAGCCCCCCCACAGCGGCCCGGCAACAAGTTTGGCATGTCTGTTTTGCATTCCACCAAGTCCTCTCCCCCCTCCCCCTCTCTCCCCCCATCCCCCTCTCTCCCCCCTCCCCCCTCCCCCTCTCTCCCCCTCCCCCTCTCTCCCCCCTCCCCTCTCTGCCCCCCTCTCTCCCCCCTCCCCCTCTCTGCCCCCCTCTCCCCCCACTCCCCCTCTCTCCCCCCTCTCTCCCCCCTCCCTCTCTCCCCCCCTCCCCCCCTCCCCCCCCTCCCACTCCCCCCTCTCTGGAGGGTTATACCCTGGAGGGTTATACTCTATCCAAACTAAGACACGAGAGCTATTTATTTTCCTCAACCCGTGGTACCAATTCCACTTTAAGGTACCTTTCCCTTCATGTACAGTATCCAATGTAAGGGTTATTATTACTTGAATGCTTTGGATGCTTTAAATGATAGAATCTATAACCAGGTGTTAAATAAGGTTCCAATGTAAATACTCCAACCTCTGATGCATTAAGATGTTCAACTATGATTTTTTTAAAAAAAAACTTGTTATAAAGGGTAGTTTTGTACCAGTTGTAGTCGGGAGTGCCGTAGCCAATGTGATTGATGACTTGCCAAAATCTTAAACAATTTATTTAGACTTGGACATTGACCAAAATGTGCCCCCAATAGGGTACTCTGGTAATGGAGTAAATGCACTGGCTCCAGTGTAACAAAGGGAGTTGATGTGTAACTACATAATCTGATGCGTTTGATGCCTTGAGAGAAGATGACTCGGAGGGAACCTCATAAGAGGTGTATTACAATTTTAGTGGGACTGAAAAGCAAACCAATAATAATACTTTTGGATGCACCAAAACAATAGAACAGGGGCGAGTAGGTTACAAAGTGCAATTTCAGGACCTATACCAAGAAATGTTTATTTTCTCTGATGGTAATTAACAACTTGCAAACTTGTTAATGTTACCAGGAAAGGTGGTTGAGGCCAGGATACTGCGCTTATTTTAAAAGCAGCTTGTTGCTGTGATGGGAGGATGCTCGGGTGGGTTTTCTAGAAGGATGAGATCAGAGGGGACGTGTGTTGCACATCACTATATTAAGCAGTTCTGTGTTGAGTACGACTTGGCATTGGACTTGGAGCTCTTGGACATCAAAGTGGCTGCCATGTTACAAGCTGTCTGGTATATGTAGTCCCAGTACACTGAAGGCATGAAATAGCTGTAACTCTAAGGGTTGGGTTGGAATGACAGCTGCTGGAAGGTGTTACCTGGAGTCTGGATTCATGAACAAATGTTCATATAACCAGTGCTTGGTATTCAAGTTGTATAGTATGTGAAGAAGTAAGCAGATGCTGTTAAACCTCTGCACCTCCAAATAGTGGACCCATTACTCAATGTGTGGAGATGTGCATCTGAGCTGTGGGCAGGAGGGTGGATGGTGATAATATTTCATGCTGAGCTGTGTTGCTCACTAGGAAGCTCCCAGAGAGATCCTGGTTCCTCTTATCTCTAAACGGCTCTTGTCAGATACCAAAATGACTCCAGTGCAAAGCATCACAAGTGTGAGTTATTGCCCACCAGCTGTGGGTATTACAGTAATGATAAATAGAATAATAATAATTCTTACATTTGATATAGTGCCTGTCACATAAGGAGGATGGCTGAAAGTGCTTCACAGGATTTAAGTGTAATGACTGTGTATTTTGTAGTTGAACGCAACATCTAATTTAAACATAGCAATGTCCCATATGAATGACCAATTTTATCAGGGGGTTCTTAGTCAGGAGACTGGGAGACATTCCTTTATTTTAAGTGTTTTGCGACGTTTAGAAGACGTGAAACGTGCTATATCAAATGCAAATATTATTTTATTCAAATTAGTGCAATAGGATTTTCTTTTGTGTCCATTGGAACAGCAGAAGGACCTCAGTTTAATATCTCATCCAAAGGACAGCACCTCAAACAGTGCAGTGCTCCTCCAACAGTGTATTGAAGTGTCAGCCTAGACTGAGAGTTCAGAGTCCTGGTGGGAGTTGAACTCATAACCTTTTGACTCAGGTAATTACCTGAGTACTGCCAACTGAGCCAAGCTGACACCTAGTAATTTCAAGATGACAGTTGATGAACTGCTGCAGAAGTAAAGTGGGTTCCATATCCCTTTACGCACAGCAATGCCCCACAAACAACCATGGGGCCTCTTGGCCAGGACACTGGGAGAAATTCCCATCTCATTGTACGCAAGGTAGCATCTCAGAGCACTTAACAGCGGCGGAGCCTGACTCCGAGCTGGTGGGAGGGGGAGGTGGCTGTAAGCACGGTCGAAGAGTCTGTTCACTAATTAACTTGTCTGTTCTGGTGTTTATACTCCACCTGAGTCTCCACTCCTCCTCATCCCTTCTCGCATATCACTTCTATTCCCTACCCTCTTTTGTTTCCACATAAGATGCATTGATGCTTTCTGCTTCAAACAGCTTCTAAGTCCACTTCCAATGCCATTTAGCAGGCACCTACTGCTTAATCCAGGTCCTCATGTGAAGCCCTTTTGCAAATAAACATGCCCACGTTTATTTTTATATATTTTTCACAGAAACAAGGATATTTAGTTATTAGTTAATGCATTTGTATTTATGGTCAATCTGTCACTTCCAATGTTCACCCTAACAATTGTGATAATGTGCAATGTTTATTTCACCTAAAGTGCAAGGACAGGAAACATATTTTAATAATCCTTACATTTGACATTTTCTCCCCTAATGGCTTTGTTTTTGTTCTTGCTGTAGTGCTGGGTTTTAACATTGCTTTAGGAGGTTTGAAGAAAAATGGTATATCTTCACAGGTATGGCCTCATTCTATGTTCATAGATATATCTAGAAGTACACTAGTAATGAAAGATCAACACTGTACGACTATAACATAACTTTAATGATAGATTTTGAATAGTAATCATGCTAACATATTGTAAAATGTATTGTCTGTGTACATTTATGTATTTGCTTCAGAAATATTTGCTCAGGTAAAAGTATTAGAATCATAGAAAGTCACAGCACAGAAATGCCATTTGGCCCATTACGTCTATGCTGGTGATTGGTCCTGCATTGCAGCTATCTACTGTTGTCAGAGATCAGTTATTGCATTAATATTTCAACTAACTGTAGATATAAGTTCACACAACAGAGCCAAAATTCTAAACCCTTCACTAATTTGTCACCCTTTTTCAGAGGGTATTGGAGAAGGGCAGTACTGGATGCTCTTTAAGATTTGAAGCTGAATAATTTTGTGCTGCAATACTTTCTAGCATGAAAATGATTGATGAAGTACTTTCTTTCTGAGGAAAAAGTACACAGATGCTTCCATTTATAGCCCTGTTGCCTCCTTACCCTCTCCTGAAACAAAGATAAATGAGTGTGGTGCAATTATCATGAACAATCTGTACAATATGAATATGCTTGCGGTATTACTATCTAAAATTTATTTGTGCAGATTTCAGAGGAGAGTAATGAACAGAGGAAGATGACTGTAGGTAAGGATTGATCAATCCTCTTTTAGTTGGGACTTGCTTCCTAAATCTGTCAAGTAGAAACTGTCAAGCTATCAAGTAAAAAACAATTAGCTGATATATTTTTCTTTCAACATTTCTTCCACTTCTGATATGTGATTTCATGAGTACTGGTATCCCGTTGAAGTGAAACGTTTTGTTGTAGTGAATTTAATAAATGTATATTTTAAATAGTAAAAAGGTTCTGATACAGTGTTGTTTTTAGAGATAAGGAACTAAGTTATAACAGCATGAGGAAGCTGAAATATTAGTGCAGAAATAAATCAATAATTTAATGGTGCTTCAGTTACAGTTAATTTTAATTCAGCTCCATCACAGTTATATACCTATAAATCCTGATATCACCCAACAAATTAAAAAGTTTACTGACAAATAGTAGAGAATGTTAAAATAGGTAACTAAGAGGTGCCTATTGTTTTTCAGAAATCTCTAAACCCTAATAAATGAATGTGGATCGTTTGTACTTTGTTCTTTGCTTTGTAGATCATAAACTTTTGACTAGGGTATGTGATTCAAAACATGAATTGTTTCTGAACTGTGCAATTTTCCTCTCCAGGCAAATAGGTCTCTAATCCATGTGCATCCACTCACTTATAGTGAATAAATGCTAGGAGAAATTCATACATCAAATGCTACTTCCAAAGATCCAGTACCTGAGTTTGGAATTTATAAAAGAACCTTCCATTGCACACAGAGATACTTACGAGTTGTTTGTGATGACACTTCAACAGTTGTGACAGGATCCAAATAAAATGAAATTTCCAGATGGATCGGGTAATCTGTCTGCTCAATCTATGTTTGGCAATGAGGTGGGAAAATAAATTCAGTGAGCGTATAATACTCTTTAACTGTTGACCCCAGTCACATTATGAATGTAATGCTTGACAGTGGCTGTTTGCTGAGATGGAAGGAAATGACTGATAAATCATTCAGTGTGCTATTGGTGATACAGCTGATTTGAGCGAGGAAGCAATGCAAGTACAGAAGCTGATCCTCGATCCACTACCTCTTACATCAAGGCTGTTTTGTACTATTCCTTGGATAAATATATGCTACATAAGAGGGGCAAACAGTTGTTTTGCCCAGTTTAACTTTTAGGATTTTTCTTATTCCGAGTAACCTTGATGAAGAAACAAGGCACATAGTCCAGGACAAGTGATGCCAAGCTTGGGTTTTAAAATTGTGTAGATTGCTGGTGGAGTGGAAACCTAATGTCTCTAATAGAAAGCTAATTCTTCTCTCAAAAGCTAAAGCTTTTTTTAAAAAATTGCATGACTGAACACAGTATTATTTTAGATTGTAGAATGAAGATGCTATCTGTACTATTGCAATTAATGATAAATAATAATCCTTGCATTTGATATAGCACCTTATCACGTCATTGAGACGTCTCAAAGCGCTTCCCAGGATATACTGTGAAGTGAATTGACTGTATATTTTTGAGCCGAGCCACGGCAGCCAATTGTACACAGTACGGTCCCACAAACAGTCATGGATTTTAGTGACCAAATTATTTTTTGAAGGGATTATTACCCTGGGAAAGAGATCTGCCAATCAACTTAAAAAACAGGTTCCTACATACTGCAGGTAAGCAGAGGCATGTGGAGTAAGGAAACTTACCTAAGGTTTTGCCCTACTTGCGAATCAAACCCGGGTCTTCTCACTTGCGAGGCGAGCGGTCTAAGCACTACGCCACAGGATTTCACAAAAAGATATTGAAAAATTCAGTTTGACTGAGCCATGAAGTATGTGCTGTATGATATTTAATTGAACAATGTTTGTAGCTATATCACATATCACTAGAATGTAAAGAATTGGAAGTTCTAGCTTTGGTGCTTTGTTTAAGCAATCTGAGGTGCCAAACAGCTTGAAGGGTATAATATAAATAGAAGTTGATATTTTTGATGATGTGCATAAATAATCACTAGTTGTATATTGCTCGAGCTTTCTTTAGAGTGATCTTTTGGAGACTATGTTCTATTCATGTAAGTTTACAAAGCATGATTTATGTCCTGTTATCTGGTTTCTTTCTCACCCCACTGAATTAACTCAATTTCCAGTTCACCAGATACAATTTATTATTTTTAGGACCGTTTAGAACTGCAACTCTTTTGCTATGAGCTTTAAGGTTGAGTTAAATCATGCTGTCTCAACTGTCCTTTCTCCCCCATATCTGTGCCATGACCTGCTCTGTCTTCCACCACTTCCTCAACATTGTCCGACTGTGCCATGGCCTCACTCCTCAGGCTGCGGAAACCCTCATACATGCCTTCGTCACCTCAAGGCTCGACTACTGAAACTCTCTCCTTGTCGGCCTCCCTAACTCTTCCCTCCACATCCAAAATTCTGCAGCGTGTGTCCTCTCCTGCACCAGGCTCCGTGACCCCATCACCCCCAGCCTCGCCCGGCTCCACTGACTCCTCTTCCCTCAGAGGATAGAATTCAAAATCCTTGTCCTCACTTTCAAGGCCCACCATTGCCTTGCCCCCTCCTACATCTCTGACCTGCTGACCCCCTATCAACCTGTCCGCTCCCTCCGTCTAGCAGACTCTGGCCTGCTCCATGTCTCCTCCTCTCCCCCCCCCACCGACCCTCCTTACCATCGGCGGCCGGGCTTTCAGCCTCTCTGGCCCCATCCTTTGGAACTCCATCCCACAGTACCTTTGCCTTGCTCCCTCTCTTGCCTCCTTCAAGGCACAACTTAAGACCTTCCTTTTTGACCGTGCCTTCAGCCGTCGTCCGACCCACTCTGCCCTTCCTCATCCCTGCCTCTCACATTTGGGTCCTGATCCCTGACTGTTCAGCGCCTTGGGACATCCTCCCAACACGAAAGGTGCTTTACAAATGTAATTGTGTTGTTGTCACATAGGATAAGCAATTAGAAGACATTTTGTTTCTAATATATAATCGTTTCTAATTGTGGAGTCCTGTAGTTCAGTGGTTGGAGCACTCGTCTCACAAGCAAGAGACCTGTGTTCAATTCCCAGCAGGGTGAAATGTTGGGCAACAGGGGTGGGAAATACCAATTTACGTTATCACCGAGAGCCACATACTTTTGAATAAAATATACATTATTCTATATTTACACCCAAAAGAAATGTCCAAACATAAGTAAGTCTCAAAACGCTTCACAGAATATACTGTAAAGTATAGTGACTGTGTGTTTTGTGGGTGAAATTTTGTAACTGTTTTGTGACATCCTGACCAAGTATAAGGATTATTATTTTATTTTTTATATAAATTTTGTGAAGACACAACTCTATAAATGCAATATATACTTTAGGTTCTAAGAAATTATCTTATTGAGGAATTTGTAAATGTAAAGGGGACTTCATAAGAAGTGAGGGGAAGCATTTACAGGCATGTGATACCTTGTGCAGGTTTTTATATTTTATATTTAGGTTCTCTGCACAGTTAACAACAACAAGATTACATTTGTATAGCGCCTTTCACGTCGGGAGGACGTCCCATGGTGCTGAACCACTGTATTCGCCTCCCCCATTACCAGTTACCCTTCAATCAAAGATAAAACTTAATACAAAAAAATGCTTCACATCATCATCAGAGGAATTGTATTATATATCATTATGTATTAGAACCTATAACCATTCCTACCTAACTCATATTTCTTAAAAAGTGTACAAACACATAGGTTTAAGAAATTATTCAGATACTTGTACACATATGAACAAATAACGTGGTATTACTCTCGCTTCTTGAGTCAGACAGTTGTGTGTTCAAGCGCCACATCAGGACTTGAAATCACAGTCTAAGCTGACACCCCAGTGCTATGGGTCTGTTGCCGTCCTTCTGATGAGACGTCAAACTCTGAGGTCTCGTCTACCTGTTCAGGTGGATGTTAAAGATCCCATGGCACTATTCGAACAGAGAAGGGAATTCTGCCAATGACCTGGCCAACAATCCCCCAAATAAAATTGGTCACTCACTCCATGGCTGTTTGTGGGACATTGCTGTGCGCAAATTGGCTGACGTGTTTCGCTCACAAAATATACAGTCAATCTACTTTAGAGTAAATGCTGTGAAACACTTTGAGACGTCTGAATGACTTGATATGGCACTATATCAAATGCAAGGATGATTATTATTATTATTTATTTAATTACTTGTAAAGTCCTTCACAAAATACACAGTCAATCCACTATACAGTATATCCTGTGAAGCACTTTGAGATGTCTCGACGATGTGAAAATGCGTGATAAGGATTATTATTATTACTTGTAGACTTTTAACTACTTTTCATATGACATTTTTAAAATGTGTTGGGGAGAAGATAAATGGGGTGTATTGAATTAAGATTTTATTTTCCAATTAATAAAATAAAATCCATTGAGCAGTAAGCTAAAAGGGAGAAAAGATTAGAAATTTACATATTGTCATAATAATACAATAAGATCAGTTAATAGAAAGCTAATATTGTTTCATTGCTTGGCCTGTATTGAGCTGATTTATCATCTTAATGCAATTTGCAGACACCTTGGATCTGATCTGAACTCAAAGTGACTGTGGATTAGTATCTGATGCATTCTACACTAAGCACCTATACTAAATGCGACAATTATGCTGTGGAACACACTGCTCGATGCTGTGGTTGAAGCAACCTGAATTTAAGAGGAAATTAAATTCACCAGTTAGGACCAGTTGTCTGTTTCCATGCCTCTCGACGTAACTATACAATAGTTCATTAAACTAGCATGTTTATATATATATTATTTGTTCCTAGTTGTACAGGATTTTGGTCTCAAGTATTACTGAATGACGGGGCAGTTTCTCCAGTCTCATCGCTCTTGCCTAGAGGTTGCATCTCCTTAGGGAATGGAGGGAATATCCGAGGACAGCTCACCGCTCAAGTTTTGACTGGATCATTTACAGAAAATAAACCGAAAAGCTAATTTTGTTTAAATGTCTTTTTTTTACATGTAACATTGGATATTTTTACAGTACTGTAGTATGTTTTTTGTTTTACAGAACCAAATGACATCGTTTTCATTATTCAGAGTCAAAAGCAGTCATTCCATGCAAAACAAGCAACGAAGCTTAAACAAGACATTTTGTTGCAGGCTGAGGCTATCAGTCAGGTAAGTGCCTTCGGAGATGATATAATTTATAACTAGCCACAGTAATCCATGCTCTGGTAATTGCCTTGTTCTGCACCTGTAGACATTAAAAGATGAATGAGCCCTATTTGGAAATTGATACAAAAATGCACAGAATATCCTCAATCTTAAAGCTCAGGCTGAAAAATACTTATAGTCCCTGAACTGTTGAATCATCTCAAAAAATGATTGCCTTAGTTAACAAAGGTGAAGTTGACTGCATTCAATACGTGCTGAAATATTTTGAAGGGCAAAATTGATTCCCAATTAAGGCCATCAGTTATTTTATTGTGTATATAAAAGATACTTGCCTTTCTCTTCTGGGTCCTTAGTTTACATCCAGATGAGATTAATGTCATGAAAATGTCTTGCTCACTTACAGCTAATTCACTCTTAATAGCTTACTATGACATGAGTTTGAATTTGTGGTTCTTTGTAGTAATTTGCCACAATAGTCAGCTGTCCAGGACATGGTAGTAATTAACACTGATATGACAGTGTCATTTACAGAAATTGTAAGTATGGTTGGTGTTAAAAATACTCTTACTGATAAGAGCAGGAATGTATAATGTTTTTCTAAGGTCAGGATTGACGCACATCTGGGAGATTAAAGAAAAAATTCCTTGTATATTAACCTTTACTGGTTTCAAAAGTGTTTATTTTCATATCAGTTCTTTCTCACATTAACCATAGACTGGACTGCCATGCTGAATCCTTATCAGAATAAAATGAGTACTGTATGGAGTCCTGTAGCTCAGTGGCTAGAGCACTTAGAGCACTTGCCTTGCAAGCGAGACACCTGGGTTCAATTCCAGACAGGGCGAAATCTTGGGCAAGTTTCCTTACTCCACACGCCTAATAATAATTCCTCCAAAAAACAAAAAAACAGTAATAAATTGGTCATTTTCAATCCACGACTGTTTGTGGGACACTGCTGTGCGCAATTGGCTGCTGCGTTTCGCCCACAAATATACAGTCAATTCACTTTACAGCATATTCTGTGAAGCGCTTTGAGACATCTAAAAGAGGTGAAAAGCGCTATATCAAATGCAAGGATTATTATTATTATACAAATTAATTCTAGGTTATGCAATGCAGAGCTATTTTTGACTCAAATGGAATAGGGGCAAGAATACATTTTCAAAGAAATCCTTTTTTAAACCTGCCAAATAACCTCCAAAATTTTAAAAAACTAGGGAGCCAAAAAATTGATGAAAGTATAAATTTTAAATACAGTTTAAAATGGGTGATGTGTCCTGTCTGTATAAAACAGTGAATGAAGCATTTAAGCAAAAAATTCTAGAAGCTTTCATCCACAATTGTTTTAGTAAGTTAAAAAAATTATTTCGTTAAATGGTTGTCTTCTTTGATACAAGCTTCCTAAATGAAAAATGCTTGAAATAATATATTGTGGGTTAACTTTTTCAGCCATTGTTTATGTAGCTTTTCTTTAATTTCTTCAGTTTCGTACCCCACCTTTTACATTCACTTCCACAAATACATAATTTAGCTAGGAGTGAATCCACGTTCTTTGATATCAGTCCACTGGGTAAATGAAATGGAACTATTGGTATGTGGCCTTGGTGAGAACTGTTCAAATACTTGTCATATAGGATCTTTACCATAAATAGACAGAGGGAACTTATTCCCATGGTCTGGTCTGGACTGAATTTGAAAACACTGAAGCCAGTGTGTTATCCACTGAACCACCAACCCAAACAGAGCAATTTTTTAAACTTAGAAGTATTTTTTTACAAGAGATAGAGGATTATCTTCCTTGTCATTTGGTTTTATTCCTGACCAATATAATGTTTGCATACTCTGCTTATGACATGCTTTCAGACTTTTTAACGTAATGAGGCATTATAATAATGCTTGTTTTAAAAGTTCTTTCTTTTGGGGGGGAATTAAATTGTATCATCAACAGGTGGCAGTGTGGCTTGCTAGATGTGATACCTGTAGTTGTTTTAAAAGATAAAGTGGTATTTCATTGTTGCAGGTTTCAGATATCTTTTTATGCTTCACCAAGTCATAATATCGGAAGGTTGTAATATGGTTGCTACGTCCTTTTGGTACTCGTTAACTACAACATTGGTTAAAATGTGAATACATATTCAATAAATCATGGCCCAATAGTTGGTCATTATTGCTAATGGATATTGATACTGTTGAGGCACTTATATTTTATGGATGGGACAATCAATAATTCTAATGTTACACCACCTCCTGAATTTTTATGATTCTGGAGTTTAAATTGTAGTATTTCTTAATGACATTCCTTATCTTTAATCTCATTAGAATTCCCATCGATCCATGTGAACTCCTCTTTGGAAGTAGATTGCTTTGTATTTGCACTCTCTCTCCCCTTTTTCAAATCTTGCCTGAAAACCTTTCTTTTCAACCATGCTTATGGTTACCTTACCCCTCACCCACCCACCCACCTCAGCTTGGAGTCAGGCTCCTCCACTATTTAGCGCTCTGAGACCATATCCTGCATGGAGGGCGCTATATAAGTGCAGGTTGTTGTTGCTTTCGAGTGTAATTTTGTGTGGGTCAACAAGACGTGACTGCCTTCTGGTTATCAGAAAGAGGGTCTTTTTATGACTTGGAATCCTATGAAGAGAAACAACAAATTGGATCCAAGAGACTTACACTTGTCAAATTCATTACTGTATGTAAAGTCCCCGAAAAATGAGTTGGATTATTAGTAACTGTTGTGTATGTGTCCTCACCAAATCTTATGGAAACATAAAGTATTTTAGTAATTTAGAATTTAACACAATTTTAGTAGGCTATTACTCTTGATTCTCGACGCATTGCCCATCTCCGCCAATACCTCTCCCCAAAAGCTGCTGAAACCCTGGTCCATGCCTTCGTCACCTCTCGGCTGGACTACTCTAACGCCCTCCTTGCCGGTCTCCCATCCACTACCATCCATAAAATCTAAATCATTCAAAACTCTGCCGCCCCCATTCTCACCCGCACCAAACTCCGCTCCCCGATCACCCCAATCGTTGCCAGACTGCACTGGCTGCCTGTTCCAGAGAGGATCGATTTCAAGCTCCTGACCCTTGTATTCAAGGCCCTACACTCCTCTGCACCTCCCCACTTCTCTGACCTCCTCTCTCCTCAAAACAGTACCCATTGCCTTCGTTCCTCCGGGTTTGGCCTCCTCCTCGTCCCCCGAGTCCTCTGCTCCACCCTCGGTGGCCGTGCCTTCAGCCACTATGCCCCGAGGCTCTGGAACTGCCTTCCTCACTCCCTTCGTCTCGCTCCCTCCCTTCCCATTTTCAGATCTCTGCTGAAGACCTTTCTTTTCGACCGCGCCTTTCTCCCCCTTCCCCTGGCTCGGTCCCGGGATCCTAAACTGTAAAGCGCTCTGAGATGCCGTCCGGCGTGGAGGGCGCTATATAAATCAAAGTCGTTGTTGTTGTTGATTCATCTGCTAACTGGATTAAGGAGAAAACATATCTAGAATAAGTATAGTAGAGATTTTTTTAAAGGTGGAGTTTTAGTGAATGAGTTGTTAGACATTGGCTGTGGAAAGAACGGGTTTGATGGACTAATTGCCCTTTTTCACTTCAGATTTTCTCATGTTTTTGTCTTCTTCAACATTCAACTCGACCCCAGCTCGGGTCCGTAACTCTGTCTGTCCAGCGCCTTGGGACGTCCTCCCGACGTGAAAGGCGCTATACAAATATCATTTTGTTGTTGTTGGATCCCCCAAATAAAATTAGTTATTCACTTCATGTCTGTTTCTGGAATATTGCTGTGTACAAATTGGCTGCCCAGTTCGCCCACAAAACATTTTATGGTATATCTTGGGAAGTGCTTTAGGACTTCTTCTTGACATGAAAGGCGCTATACTAAATGTAAGGATTATTACTGATGTTACTAATATTACTCAACTGTCCCTGTCAGAGTGGTGAGTTGCTAATCATACAATTCTGCGTTTGGCTGCTGGATGTTAGTGGCCTTGTACATTTCTTTCATCTGATACTCCCATCTCTCTCCACTCCCTGGTTCTTTTTCCTCAGAAGATTGATTGAGATTAAGTGTGAGTTTTGGAGGTAACTCTGCATGCAGATAGTCTGGTAGTGCATCAAAAGCTTTGCATTTGTTTAAATTTCTGTTAATTATGATTTGTAAGGAATAGATTTCCCTCAATACCTTTGATGAAATTGATTTGATTGCTCATTATAAAATATAAAAAACCTTTCTCACAAACTAAATCTCAGACTGGGAGGAATAAATCTAGAAAGGTGAATAGAACTTTATTCAGTGTTTCTAAAATAAGCAGTTTTTGTGCTTAAGAGACAACAATACTGTAATAACCATAATCCTTTAGTAGACCTCAAGATTACATAGGTATTTAAATTTATTAATGAGATTTTTGGTGATGCTAATACGATTAATAGTATAATATTAGTAATATATCACATTTACAGGTATCACATATTTGGTTGTGCTAATGTTATGAATATAGTATACCATTATTAGTATTAGCATAAGCAAATCTGTAATACCTGTACTCAGAAAACTGTCAACTTTGCTCTTGTTTTTTGTTTAATTTCTTATTTATGAAGATGAATTATTTCAGTGATGGGGAATGGATATCTTCTCTATTTCAGACACCCAATACAAACAACAATCATTGAATATAGCACAGCTAACTGGAGATGGGAAGAGAGTAGAATGGGTATTATGAGAACATTGGGTCAAATGGTCTTTCTGCTGAAGAGCTTTCTTCAGCTGTACCTCTATTCTAATCTTCTGGAGTTCTAACCCAACCTGGATGTGTCATAATCTCAATTTCAGAAGATCCCTCCGTTAATACACCAGTGTCCAAGGGAGGGTGTATTTTGAACATACCAATAATAATAATCCTTGCATTTGATGTAACTCCTTATAACGCCATTGAGACATCTCAAAGTGCTTCACAGAATATACTGTAAAGAGAATTCCATGGGTGGGACGGTGGC